TATAAAGTAAGAATCACCAGTGCTGTATCACTAAATTTTCTACTTATCTTTATTTTTGAAGGAAAGTTAGTCGAAAATAAAACTCCCAGTCAGGCTTCATTTTCCTCTCATTTTACAGTATATTGTTGCACTTGAAAGCTAGGACTGAGTGTTGCCCTGTTTTGTTTTGTTTTTCCTTTTTTGATTCTTGTCCAAATCTGTTAGGCTCAATTTAAGCACTAATTAGCTTTATTTAATTCTTGTTAAAAAGATGCATGGTATTCTATGGCCTGAGGTTTTCATTAATTTGGAGGCGGCCTTCTTGTTTTCCTTCCTAGTGGGTGAGTATAGCATTCCTGAATCACATTTGCTGTTCCTCGGAACGCTGTGGACTGTGTTTCACAGAGGAGGCACCTGAAGAGAATTCCAAGACCACTAGATTTTTCCACTTCTAGGTATTCACCCCAAAATGTCCATCTAATCTTTGTCATTGGAATTGGAAAATTCTACCTGCCTACAGCTAATGTGCATTTATTAGGAATTACTATTGCTGAAGTATGGTATGCAGTGACATCTGCAGACTCCATTCCTCCTTTACTTCTGAGGAATTTTCTGTAATTACACCTGTTCTATCATCTCCCCAGGTAGGGGTCACTGGTTCAAGACACCAACTTTTCTGATGTTGCCTTAATTTTGTGGCCCTTCCAATATAGAATCTTTTTTTATTGCTACATTTGTCACTGCAACCATTACGAACACTTATTCTGTCAACCTTTAGCATAGCTTCTGTTCCCATGAAGTTTCTAATTCATGATTACCTTTGCAAGAGTCTGATCTTCTATGCATTCATTTATCTGTGAACTTCCTTTTCATCTCACCTGGCATCTTTTGTCATTTCAACTCTGAGTACTTATTTTATTCATGATCTCTTTTTTATTTAAAAAAAAAGTAAGTTTGTGGCAAAAGTACATTTGCTCCTTCTGTGAAGTATTATATTCTATCTATTTTTCTAGGAACTGACCACAGCGGGGCTCTCCCTCGCATTAACCTTTAGATATTGCTGACAAATAAAAGAAACAAACCTCTCCAATGGCTATGGCAGGTGTTATCCCATTTGCATTTACTCAAGCAAAACTAAAGTGGGAGAATGTACGCTCATGCCCACACCTGGATTCCCAACCTGAGTTGGCAAACGGTTCTCTGAGGAAGTCAGCAGGACTCTGGCTTCAGGGTCAGTGATTGGTGACTCGAGCTATCCTTGTACTCTCTCAGCTGCGTGGGTGTTAACCCCTGGAAGACCACAGCAGAGGACACTGCCGCTGAGGTCTCCAGTCTGCATGCTCCACGCCAGCTTTCATATCCAAGGAGAGAAAAGTCCTTGCTTTGCCCTGGTATGACCCAAGTGGAGTAAGATGTAAATAAGGATCAGACAAATCGGTTTTGTGAATCTGGAATGTCAAAATCTATAATAGTTGTCATCCTTGTCAGAAATCATCCAACTCTTTGTAGGCTTTTAGTTTTGAAAAAGCCCTGCATTTTGGATACTCTGTCTCGTATTCTGCTTTTCCATTTCAATTCACTGGATGTTAAAAAAAAAAAAAAAGAGAATATGCAGATCATCAAAATAATATCTATTAAAACTAACTTTTAGTCCAAGTTAAAATTTGGAAAGGAAGATACTTCCTTCAAAATACATTAAGCAATAATGTAAGGGTTAAATGGAAACATCCACAAGATAGAGGGGAATTGAAGTTCGTAATTTATTGTGGTTCTAAAGCTCAAATTGCCAATCTATCTGAAGAAGCGTGCTCGCGGTCTGGGAATGCAGCTTCTGGGAGAGCTGTCTTTTGCAGCCCGAGGAGCCGCTGATGATTGCAAGCAGGCCCCTCTGGAGGACTCTGTTAGGAGGACTCTGTTTCCATTTTTATTTCTGCTGGAAGGAACTTTTCACCCACTGCAAACCCCTCCTCCCTTGGACTTTAACTGGAGAGAGATTCTGCAAGGGTTCTTTACAAGGCCTCTACACTGATAATCTCAGCCCGAGATTCAAAAAATTTAATCTCAACCTGCACTACAGTCCAAGTCAAGCACATACTGTGCTTAGACAAGTGGGCTAAAATGAAAAGGAATTACCCGGTAAGTGGGAAAATGAAGTAAGTCTCAGTAGGATGCACTTGGCAAGTGACACAGTATATCATGAGCACAACCAGACCTGTAAACCCGGAGTCAGGATCAGGATGCCTGGAACCTGAAGTCTGGGACCTGAGGCCTCAGCTAAGCGCCCTCACTAAAATCCCGCCTTGGGGACAGCCTGGGTTTTGCTCCAGATCAGTGCGATCGAACAAATTTCACAGTAAGGCCAGGCATGGGAATGCCCCGGTTTCCCGTACATGTAAGTCACGTTTATATTATACTATGGTCTGTTAAGTGTGTAATGCTATTAAAACCAATGTACACAGCTTAATGAAAAATATTTTATTGATAAAAGTCCTAACAATCATTGGAGCTACCAGGAAAATGGCACCGACAGACTTGGTCCAGGGGGATTACAACAAACCTTCAGGATGTAAAAAGCGCAGTATCCGTGAAGCAGAATGAGGGTGAAGGACAGTGAAAGGAGCTGATAAGGTATGAAGTAATCAAGTAATGAAACACACCTGCAGCGTGTGTTTCGAGGGGAGGGTTGGGGAGCAGTACCCCATATCACTGGGTCATCCAGACCAGACTTCTACAAGTAAGTTCCTAGAAGCCGTACTAAGAGGAGACACACATTGTCTGGTATTTCATTTATAATTGATCTAAGTTGCTTTCTTTTGACTTGATTCTGTTCAAATGCACTTTTTGCAATAAAGACCTTCAAGCATTTAACTACTGTGGGAGTGTTTTAAATAGTGTTCCCCCCCACCCAACCCAAATTCACTGGGTGGAGCCCTGATACCAATGCAGTGGCATTAGGAAGTGGTGCCTTTCACAGGTGCCTGGCTCATGAGGTGGAAACCTTCACATGAAGAGATGCAAGACCAAATCTCTCTGAGCCCCCGTGAGGATGCAAGTGGGCAGCACCTGTGAGCCAAGAAAGGGCCTCCGAAGGACACACAGGGCAGGGGGCGGCACCTTCCTGTTGGACCCCAGCCACCAGACCCTGAGGACTAAATTTCCATTGTTTAAGTCACCTGGTCAGTGGTATTCAGTTACAGCAATGAGAAGTGAGGAGGGAACTTAGCAAAGTTTCAGCCAGAGAGTTTCACTAGAAATCTTCAGAGATCACTACTGGTCATCCTGGGCCCCAGGGAAGCAACCATTAGGGACTGTGCCCTCGGGTAGGGAAAGGCCAGATGGGCTGGGCCTCAGGCTGCTCACCTGGGCCTGGCCAGTGCCAGCCCAGCTCCTCAGCACCCCACCCTGGGTACTGATGAGGACTTCAGCTCCCCGCTTCCAAGGAGACGACCCTATTCTGTGCGGCTTTAACTTGAACATTGATGATAAAAAAACACCCTAAAAACTGCAAAGGTCCAGTTCATTCATTTTAGGAACCTAATACACTTCAGACACCCTGTGAGATATTAAGAATGAAAGCAGCAGAAAAAGAGACGCAATCCTTGTCCGTAGCCTGGTTAGGAAGACAGTGCATTGGTATCTAAGACAAACAAAATCCCTTATTTGACCTTCAGCCCTCCAGATACCTCCTCAGTCCTCACTCCTCCTCACTGCATTGCTTCTGCAAAGAGCTGCTCCCCTCTGGGGTTGCATCGGACTCCCTCCATGCTCTCCCCTCCTGCTCCCCACAGGCAGGACTAAGTGACAGCTGTGGCCTCCATCTGCCTATGCAGTGATCACATCTGTCCTCATCTTACTCGGCTCTCAGCAGCTCTGTCCACAGCTGCCCAGATGCTGGACTCGCAGCCTTTGCCAAATCCCTCAGGGGTGCAGGGCTGGCTCCTCTTCTTCGGGCCGCACTCAGCTCAGCTCACAGGCCATCTCCTGGCCAAGGCAGGCCCTGAGCAGCTGAGCACAGCAGCCTCCCTGGCACTGCCTCATCTGCATCAGCTTACGACCATCACTTTACCTACCGGAGATGCATTTTACACTGGTGGGCTCGTCACCTCTCCATCCCCTTAGAATGTGGCCCTCAGGAGAGCAGGCCAGTACCAGGCTGTCAGGCATTGTGCCCCATGCTTCCATTGAACTCAACACAGAAAAAGCTAAATAAATCTTGCTGACTCCATGAGGGAGACATACCAATGGATGAATATATCATTAGAAATTGACAAGATCTATCAAGGGGAGATATATTATTCACCACGAGAACGGTAATTGTGCTTTGGGGAAAGTGCCAATTGTATAGAAGAGTGTGGAGGAACAGATTCTGCAGCGAGGCTGTTCTGCCTGGGCACGGGGAGGTGAAGCTGGGCACAGCCCCATGGCTGGACGGGGCCCTGAGCTGCTGAGCACCTCCCCGAGATGGAGATGGAGCACACCTCACACACACTAGTTGCTTTAGAACTGAAGAGGGCTGGTTGTTATTTAGAATTTGAGAAGCACAGCTGCTTACAATGGTTGTGAAATATCATGTTATTTATGCCCCAAAATATATTCTTTGAATGCTTTCATATACCATTACAGAACCAGTTTGCTATGAGCACTGTTTTCCAAACAACCAGAAATCACAAAGCGCATTTCACCCTTCAACAGACTCTAACAAAGAGTTCCATTGTCTTAAACTATCCAAATTAAGCTGGTCTTGCCAAGAAAAGACATATTTTATGGACAGCTGAAGAGCAATAGTTAGAAAGGAGGCATTCTTTTACCAATTAAAACTATGACCAATATTTCACGAAAAGAGAATGAAGATTTCCCCCCCGAAAAAAATGCACCGAAAATGACAAGGAGAAGAAAGCACTGTGAGTTTTGCTGCTTGGTAAAAGGGAGGCCCAAAGCCTGAGGCTGAAATGCCACGGTTAGCACTTAAAATGTGAAAGGAGAAGATGGTAGCAAACTGCTGGGAGGAGGGCAAGTCCCACCTGTGGCCAGGTAGATGATGTGGAAGAGCAAGTCTCTGCCCTGCACCACGTCCACCACCACGTGGGAGAAGCGGCTGTTGTCCTCTAGGAAGGAGGGCACTGGGGACACCGGCTGCACCACCTCGTGCATCAGGATGAACTTCTGAGCGTCCTGCAGGTTCCTCTCTGTAAGATTCACATACAGGCCCTGGTCCACGGTGCCACACTGCAAGGGAGGATAAGCACATTAGTGGAAGCAGCCTGACAGCCATGTCTTTTGTGGCCACCATGGCTAGAGAGTGACTTGGAAAATGAACAAGCCACGGTACATGACTAAAGGTGTGAAAAGGTTCCTTTCCTCTTGGGACATCCTCTTCTTAGTGTCCTTCTTGCTACAAATGTGAGCTCAGCCTGTTTGGGGAATGTTTGACTCCATCATGAGCGAACGGATCAGAAGTTTTAAAATATAAAATGAAAGTCAAGGCTGGTTATAATTTGAGCAGCAGATGAGTAGAAAGGTCTGGGTAAACATGCACTATTATATCCCTGCTAAATCACGTGCCCATATTGCAAACACAGCAATCAGGAGCATCTATAGATCTATTGGTTTTCCCTTTAAAGCAGTGGGTTTGTTAGCTAACATAGATTCCATCTCAGTCACATTCCCATCGTTAATACAAAATACGCACAATTTTAAAAGTTTATTTTGGTTCATAGTTTAGTGCAGACTCAGCTAGCGTCAAGGCAGATATGGTATGGCAGAGGGGCCCAGGGTAGGGCAGCTGCTTACACGATGGTGACAGGAAGCAGCAAGGAGGAAGGGGGGAGTCACTCACCCAGGTCACAGTCGGGTGGCCCTGCTCTACCCAGCCCTCACCTTTCTACACCACACTAAGCCACTCAACTCATGCGTGGATGAATTCGCTCATGGGTCCAGGACCCCATGATCTGAGAACCTTACAAAACCTATCTCTGAGTACGGGAGACCTTGTGGGACATTCTAGATCTAAACCATAACAGATTCCTAGGCAACAGAATTATGTTTTAATCTGTAAACCTTGTGATGTGATTCATACATACTGCGGAAGTATTATTGTGGTCTGCTTGTTTTATGCTTGTGTTCCAAGATAGAAGAAATTTTAAAATGTGGTTACAGTCTTGGAATCTGAGTGATGATTTGGTAAATCTGAAATAGGAGATGCAGATAAGTAGATAAAGACAGGGAGGAGAGGTGGAAGGAGAAAAGGATGGAAAGGAAGAAAGGAGAAACAAGGAAGAAAGAAGGAAGAGGCTATCTGTAGATGGAGGAAATGTGAAACTGCATTTGAGACATGCAGGGGAAAAACCAGGCCTGGAAATTGCTGAGAATTAAATTCTGAGCCATGCTGGTGGAAGTCTGGCAGGTGTTTCATGTGATGGTTTCTGCCAACGACAAGGTACAAGGAGGTGGAGGAAAGAAAGCACCGCATTCCTGGAACTGAGTGCAGAATCAGAAAACCGCCACCAATGTTTCACATTTCTTTTATAAAGGTTAAATCCTGATACAAATAGTGCCTGAGAGGCAGCAGTACTTCGTATAAGTAGGTCTGATGGGAATGAATTGGGGGCCTATGCCACCTGCACCTAGGACTTATAACACGTCATTTCCAATACCGGGTTTTATTAGAGGTTAAAGGTGCAACAGTGTATGACGGAAATTGCTTTTTTGAAATAGATTATATTTTTGTAGCATTTCATAAAATGCCCTATAAGACACAAACTGATAGGCCAATTGGAGAATTACAGAACCCTAAAGCTAAATGGATTTCATCCATTTAGTCCAATGCTCGATTTAATATCACCCTCTTGTAGGGGCTCCTGGCACCACATGAAGGGGATGTGGGAGTTCAGGTGAGGGCTCAGGCCCGCAAGCGGTGGCCTGAGCAGCTTCCAGCGTGTCCTGACTCCTGCACACAGCTCAGGGAGGCCTTGCCTCTCAGAGCCTGATGCTTCAACTGAAAAGCAGCAGGAAAACCCAGACTCCATGCACTGCTCAGGGCCAATGTGACAGCAACTGAGATACTCAGCCGGGAGCACGTGTAGAGCCCTTGTAAATGCCCAGCTGTTGTGTGTCTGGCACTGAGAAGCTTCAACCGGTGGCAGATGATAAGGACTTCCGTCATGAAGCAGCTCAGGCACCATGGTTCATGGTGCTATGGTGACCAGAGGGGAATGAGAGAGTGAAGAGAGGGACAGGGGAATCAGTGACCGCATAAACAGTTCCGCTGGTGGGATGGAGAAAGGCCATGCCAGAAGATGTTACACCTTTATAGTATCTAATAATACTGCTCGGAGCACTGGCCCGTCAGCTACTGTGTACCCGATGACGAAGAGCTCCACCGCACTTGGTCGTCATGGTGAGTCCCGGGACTGAAGCTGTCCTCGTTTTTGTGGCTCACGGCGATAGCTCAAGCCCAGGTGGTCACTAGCTGTCTACACGCCGGGGGAAGTCTATACACACAGTGCTTTGCATGCGTGGAGTTAAAAAGTAAATAAATAAAAACCAGGAGCTGCGATCTAGACAGAGGCCTCTCACTGTCCTTAGGAACCCAGAAATGTGGGAGGCCTGGGGGTCATGAGAGACTGGGGCTCCTCCGGGTGGGACCACTTTATTCCCGGACCCTTCTCTTGTTTAAATCATGGGCCTGTGCTGCTGTCAAGAACTGCACTGGCAGAGTCCTCTATGACTCCCTGCTTTCTTTTGTCAGCCTAGAGTAAGCATCCCACCCGAGGGTTCTGTTTCCCACATTTTGAAAGCTACCATCTGTACGTACAGCGTATATTTATGGGACTGGAGGCCATTCACCAAGCTCTCCAAAGGCTATAAACTCTCCAGCTCTGCCTTACACACGGTCTCCCTGCTGTCTGCGTCGGGCCCTGAGAAACACCCTGGGGACTCCTGGGGACTCCGTGCAAGAGGAAAACAATAAAAGAGAAAAAGCACAGCCTTTGCCCTCGGGTGGCCACAGCCCACCACAGTTATCATGTCAACACCGCCACAAGAAAGAAGGTCAGTATTTTTACACATTTTTAAAGAATGCAATAAACACTTGTATTTTGTTTACTAATTTGTTTAAAAGACAGAGAATGTCCATCCCTATCCCAGCACACCAGGGCTTGGTGGCCAAGCCCACAGGCACCTCCCTGAGTCCTAACACTCCACAATTTCCGGGGCACCTTGCTCTCGGGCCACCTTGTCCTTCCACATCCGGCTACTGACACCTACTGTGTATCCGGAGTCCTAAGCGATGCAGACAGCTCTGTCCGCGCTCATTTAATGGCCACTTTCACCCTCAGCGCTGATCAGTGGTAACCACACTGCAGAGAAGATGCTGGCCCTGTCACCCCACTGCTGCACCATGGGGTTTGGCCAGGGCTTTGTTTCAGTGGCTGACGATTTTCCTGTGCGGCTCAGGGTTTGGATGATTTTGGAGCCACTGCATCTATTAGGGGCGATACCTCGGAGGGCAGCTTCTAGATTACAAGTGACAAAGGTAAGACATAGCTTTTGCAGTTTGCTATTATTTCAATGGAGCTTTTTCTGTTAAATTTTGAAATATTATGTACTCTCTGTATTAACTCTTCTGCTTCCTGAACCTGCTTGCTAAATAATTAGGCATATTTACTACAGAAATGCTGTGTAAAACTCCAAGTGTCAGCTGGAGAAACAAGAACAAAAATATCTAACAGTTCTTACTGTTGCTTATTGCCAACATTGGGACTTTTACACCTGCCTGGTAGAGGACGCTTAGCCCAAAGTGAATTCCTGCCCTGTGCCGGCCTGCAGGGTTCATGGATGTCATTCTGGACACCTACGCTGGGTAACAATCCAATAGATAAATCAAAAAGAAGAAAACACGAGGAGTTACACAAAGAATCACCATAATCTGTAACTTGAGTTTCCTGCAAATTTGGGACTGTACCCAACCAAAGAAGACAAGATTAACTAGGCGCATTTCTTGCCTGAAATGCACGCACTTTCTGGCACACTTCATTCATTATGCTGCACGCACCTACTCCCATCCCATAAATATGAGTAAGCACTTCAGTGTGACACTGGCATTATAAAACCAGACACCGGTGGCCTTAGGAAATGAGAGGATTTGCTGTGTGCTGCAAATGTATCCAAATGAAGGAGCTAAAAGTTATCCACTGCCTGAAGGTGGTAAAGGATTACAAAGTCTATTAAGCCACTCTGTTCATGGTGAAGACTTTTGCAACAGAAACACTACATAAGGAAAGTACACTATAAATATAATAAACGTCTTTGTTAATTTTTTGACCTTCAAAATTTTCAAAAGAATTTTCTTTAAAGTAATGATCTATTTTATGATCTATTTTCTCCTCCATATACATTCAATATTCAACATGTATATGAGTATACACCATGGGATGACACCAAACAGATGGTCCCTCTGAGTCACCTTTATCAAATATTATGCAGTAAATAACACACATTGATTGATATCACCTAGCTTTATTTTTAAAATATTCCTATGCTTTTGTATTCCTCCTTCCACATTTTCTTGGTGAGATTTTGAGGTGAAGATGATAAACAACGTGCAGTGAAAACAGTGAAAGATAAAAATGACATGTAACTTAGTCATCTTCTTCTCATTCCCATGTACTTCAACAATTTAAAGATAAACACAAACAAACAAAAAAAAGAAAACAATTATAATCAAATGGTACTTTCCAAAATCCAAGTAAAGTGCCAAGTGATTGAACATTTCCATCCTCCCAGTCTTCTCAGAAGCCAGAGGTTTTCCACTTTGGATAACTGGCCAACCAGAACTTGAAGGACAAGTTCTGACACTAAGTGGTGATGGTCATCATCAGTCATTTAGTTGGAATAGGTTGGGATCTGCGAGCAGAGGCTGGGATTCCAGTTGGACCACTCATCAGTTGCGGTCCTGGCTGGATTCTCTGCCCCATGGCTCCGTGTCCTTCTCTGTACGCGGAGAAGTCTTTCTCAGCATGGTACTACAGCCAGCATGCGAGATGACACACCTGCAACATCCAGCTCAGGGCTCGGACTGCTAAACGGTATGCCCTACACGATGACTGTCCCGGCGGAGCTGATGTGGAAGGGAAACTGGTGCTTGTGGGCTACACATTTGTTCCCCTCCCACATTTATATGTGGAGACCTCTCCCTCGGCTTGGCTATACTTGGAGCTAGACTCTCCAAGGAAGTAACTAACGTTCAATGAGATCAGAAGGGTGGTGCTGCGACTCGGTAGAAACAGTAACTTCACAAAAGAGGACAACATGGGACAGATGTCTCTGCCTTCCACAGGAGGGCACAGGGGGAAGGCAGCCATCTGCAAGCCAGGAGCACAGCCCTCACCAGAAAAGGACCCTGCTTTCAGCTTGATCTTAAGCTTTCAACTCCTATAACTGTGAGAAAATAAATAAATGGCTTTAAAAAAAAAAAAACCCATCCAATCTGTGTTAATTTGTTATTGCAGCCCAAGCAGACGAAAACACCTGCCCACTGACCAAAGGTGGGAGATCCCTTCGTCTCTGAGTCTCAGCCTATTCTGAATACTGGGAGATGACAAATCCTGGGACACCATGGACATCCAGGAATTTCATGATGGAAGAAGGACTTTCAGCCTCTACTTCTCTGTCCCTGGTTGTTACTACCACGTCCATTCCCCGACAGGAACTCCCGCCATCGTTGCCAATTAGAGCTCTGATCCTGTCTGTGTCTCCACCACCCTGTGTTGTGGGCCCCACTCATGAGAGAGTCATTCACTTGCCATCAGAGCCCCAGGGACACCGAGTCCCACACTATTAGTGTTAACTGAAGCAGGGGCTCCTAATCAGAGGTGGGAGGCCGGCTGTTTTCAGCCTGGAGTCACAACTGACAAAAGGTCCCTTTGTGGTCCAGGCGCCACAGTGTACAAAAAACTCCCACCTGCTGACAGGAGCCAAGCTGGGTACAGGGCTGTCCTTGAGGGGCAGGGAGAGGAAATCGGTCGGAGCATGGGCCCCAGGTTCACTGCCTCAGGGTCTGCATTGTTCCCGGGCGCCCCTCCCCAGGAAATTACCTGGAAGTTGGGGTTGGGGTTCGGATAAGGTAGCCAGGCGGAGCGAGAGTTCTCCTGGAACTTGAAGGGCCCATTGAAGGCCTGCGAGATGGCGCTCAGGTTGAAGACACATACGGCCGAGGCAGCAATGCTGTTGCTGAGAGCCGAGGAAGAGAAAAGAGAAGTCGGTCAGAGAGCCCTGCAGCGACCCAGCCACCAGCCACAGGGGCGGCAGTGGTGACTCAAGCAGCCCTGGACACCTGGAGACCTAGGGCTCTCCGGTGTCCCACGGGGAGGACCCTGGACGGTGCATGGGGCTGGCCTGTGGGTTCTCGTAGAGAAACAAACAGCTAGGTATGGGAACAAGGGCAGCTGGCAATGATGACACTCGCAATGCTGCCCGCTGGGATTAGTTCACTCAGCCACAGCGAGACAGTGAGGGCTGCGTGGAGCTGCATGCTCCCCCTTTAAATTCTGGAAGAAAGACTTTCTCCTCTAGCGGATGGAGCCACTGTCCCTGCCGGCCAGCCCCTCCGCAGCGCTTATGTGGTTACTCAGCTGGAAGTGGGTCACGCATTTGTCTTTTAAATCTCCAGATATTTATGTTTGTCATCCTTCAAAAAATAATCAATAGAGTATTTTGTAAAGAATGCCTGCCAGACCCCATATATATATATTTTTTTTTTTATTTTTTTTTTCAATTTAAAGAGGATTGTAAATACAGGGGGTCAAAACATTGACAGGAAATCTTGAAGCTTTAATTTAGAATTCAAGCTTTGCAGAGAAAACTGAAAATGGGAGGCTTTGGAAGGTCAGTACCCTTCAACAAAGCATGGAAACAGTAAAATATTTTGGTAAAATTTGCATATTAACCTCAGCTGTGGTTCTTAAGGGAACATGGAGATAAAAGAGTATGTATGTATTTTCCATATTAATGCTCCAAGACAATAAATAGGGCTCCTTATATCAATTGTTTTTCTTATGTCGAAGGAAAAACCACCGAGACTTTGGAACTGGAATACTTAGCTGTGTTTGTTTTGGTAATGAATAGGTACAAGACACCTCCAAGAGGCTTCAGAAATCCCAGTCCAGGAATGCTCCATACCATAAGAGACCCTCAGATAAAGAAATGAGGCAGATAGGTGAAGATGACTGTGGGCCGCATTTGGGGAGCAGCATTTGCCCCCCATGTAGAGTGGGCGCCTAAGACCATGTGCTTCCTTCTCTGTGAGAGGTGGGTGAGGAGTGGATGCTATCTAAAAGCCTCAGGACCATGTGCTCCAGACAGTGAGACCAGATGCTAAGCATCGCTGTGTGCACGTTTCTACTTCTACTCCTCACTACCCTCCGAAAACAAGCAAGTGGTAAGTCAAATCCCATCTGCAAGGAGGGAAGAGACTTTGCACAGGTGACCGGGCTTTGGTAAGGTCAGGAAAACAATTATGCTGGATGGAGAATGGCCAGACGCAGCTGAGTTCACGTCGGGGTGGCAGGGATGGCATGGAGGGCGGCCATGGATTTCTCACCAAGGCCGCAGATCCCAGGAAGAGCCCAACTGTCCGGATGGGCAAATAGCAGCCCAGAGCAGGGCCTCCTCCTGCCACAGCAATGCAGAGGTGGAGCAGGCTTTGTGCTGCTTCCTACCGGGTTCCTCAGGTCATGTCCCTGACCTCACAGTCCTGCTGCTCCCTGGTAAGAGAAACCCCCTTTTGCCCATAGAGGCACTAAATGATCACTCCATTCGCTGGCTCTGAATGGGGTCAGCCCAGCAACTCCCCTGAGGTCCTAGAAGCTGCTAGGCTAAGCATCTCTCACTGGGGCTGAGGGAAAACATATTTTTTTACTGGTGTATGTTCTTAGTACAAAATAATTACATTCACTTTGGGGAGTTGAGATAGACAGGTAATCTCCATCATTTCCAATCCCTTCCTCCTCTCCCTTCTTCTGCAGATCCTCTTCCTCATCTCCAAGAAGTCTGCCTCACTCTTTCCTACAATCTCTCCTGTTTTATGCTTTAATTTACTCATGTTTTGGGTTTCTCATATGAAAGAAAGCAGGCAATGTTTAACTTTCTGTGGCCCACTTGTCTCACTTAATGTTATGGTCTCAAGATCCATCCATTTTCCTACAAAGGCTGGGAATTCATCCTTCTTTATGGCTGAATACAACTCCACTGTGTACGTATACAACCACATTTTCTTTACCCACTCCCCTGTCGATGGGTCTCTCAGTTGTTTTCCTACATTAGCTACTGGGAACTGTGCTCCTATAAACATGAGTATGCATGGACCTCTGCAGGATGATACCTTTGAAGCTTCCTCCCAAGAAGTGGTGAGAAAGCATCACTGGTGGCCCCACTCCCGGGCCTCACTGCCCCTTTGCCTTTGACTGTGCTTTGGGCTCTGGGAGGGGTGGAGAGGAAGAGCATGTGCTCTGCCTTGCCTTCCCTCTGGGATGGGCCTGGCTACAGGAAGTGCCTGCCACCTTCTCTGCCAGGGCCCCGCCTGGCCCAGAGTGCTGGGACCTTGTGCATGAGCCAGCTCAAAGCTGGCTCGGCCTGAATAAGCCCAGGTGGCTGACAGACCTCCAGCCTGGCCTTGCCAGGTCACAGAGGTAGGCACATGTCTTCAGTTCATGTGCTGTTTTCTCTCTTCACTGTTACAGTCCAGGTGGATCAAAAGGCCTTTTGGGGACCTCGGGTGAGCCCAGCACTCGGATATTAAACCTTGCTTCTACTTGAATTCCACTTAAAATTGCCAGCAGCAAAGTTTTCAAAAATTCTTTCTAGGTCTTACTTAGTCTCTTTAGTTGAGAAGAGCAATGAGAATCTTTCCCCAGCACCCACCCACACTTACACTGAGATACCTATGCCCACACAGACCTAAACTGTGCTGTTCATGTCGTATACTCGCTATACCATGCACGCCTGCACTGCTGAGCCATCCTTTTTAGGTTCCAGAAAAAAGGCAAAACCTTCAGATTCCACTGCAGTAGCAAACAACTTCTTGCAAATGAACTCAGGCTCAAAGGGTAGAGAAAAGCCACAAGGTCCTAGCGAAAGACTGAGCCAGAAAAAGTGCTTTCCCCATTCTCCTAGTGCTAAGAACCCCACCAAAGCACAGAAGCAAATCCAAGTCCAAGCCACAAAGTTACAGCCTCTATTTCAGAGGTAGGAAACTTCCAGACTACCTAAACTCATTTTCTTTCAGCTGGAAGCCGGACTTCTCAGGAACATGCTCATAAAATCGAGGCTGAGCCATGAAAGGAAGAGGAGGTGGTGGGAGTCATTGTGGGACGAGAGAGGACAGGTCTGAAATCCATCTGGAGACTTAGTGACAACACGTGCTCAGCACAGCAAGAGCAGCTGTGGCTACCCGCTGCCGGCCTGGAAGCCCTGACGTGCCGGAATGGGCCACACAACCAAACCATTAATTTGAAAACCTTAACACGGCCATCAAAACAAACGATTCACCATCTTGGAAGAGTTTAGACAGGGTGCTTCCAGAACTTTTGAAACTGGGGTTTTTGTAGTTATTTTTGCCCAGAGCCAGGGGAATGAGCAGCCACAGAAGCCGAGCCCCCATTGTGTGTAAAATTGATCTCAGCTGAGCAACTCAACCTTTATCTTAGAGAATACACTATTTCTTAAACAGGGTTTTGGAAAGCAAATCAACTTCAGAAACCATAAATTGATTTTTTTAAAAAAGAAACTTCAGGAAGGAATATAGGCTCTGGGGCTAACCAAAGCAGATTTACAAGAACAAGGACAGCTGCAGAGCCGTGGGATGGGCGTGGGAACATTCACAACACCCATTTTCCAACTTCATAACAGAGAGCGGACCACGGAGTGTTATGATCAAGTGAGTGTTAACACTAACCAGCAGTGGCAAGAGCAAGAAGAAACAGTTAACAAGAAATGAGTGGCAGGTAAAGTAAGGGACTATAGAAATGAAATTCCTGGGCAGGCCACTGAGGCCAAAGAGATCAAAAAGTAAATTGGAAGTGTGCAGGGACAGAGCAACATCACAGCCAGGCTCTTGTCCAGTCCACCCAGGCCCGAGCATCCCAGGATCCAGGCAGTCCTCAGTGCTAAAGCTTCTGTAATTCCCAAGGGATACTGCCACTCACCCTACTTCTCAACGCTTCCCACACATCCAGTTTTAGATCCTTTGCCTTGGACACAGATGTTTGGCTTTTGTCAGAATCGTTAGATCTCCAGATTAGAGATTCCAAAGGTGATCCATGCCAGAACCCAAATGATCAGGAGCACTGCTGATGGGAAAGGGGATGTAGCTCACAGTCTGAACTGCTGTTTCCTACGAACAGCACACCGGCTATGGACAGGAAGTTACGGTGGGCTCCTGTGTGCCTCCCAAGCTAGCCACAGTAAGAGCGAATGAGAGCCCAGGCTTCCCCCAGTCCAGAGACTGTCTCGCTGATATTCTGAGCATCTTCCCAAAAGAAAAAAGTGCTTTCAGAAATATTTAAAAAGTATAATCAGTGTTTAAGAAATATGTGCCCAGGTTAGCCGTCTTCTAGATCAACTGTTCAGAGAGCAGCTATGGGGAGATGAGAGTGTGTATTTCATATAAAAGCATATATAAGACACAGACTCAGGCAAAAATTGTGTTATCTCAAAGATCAGACTTTCCAGAAAACATTGCTTTCATTATGCACAAATGCATGACTTGTGTACAGAGAAAATACATCTAGTATGCACCCGCATTTCAGAAAGTGCTCGTAACACACTAAAAAATCAGGAAGTAGTGATTTATAACAGAATAATTTGATATTACTAAGCTAAAAACAAACCAAAACTTTTTGGATTAACTTTACTTTCCTAATGCCAGTTTAGCAAAGCACATGTATTTCCCAATTATTTGGTGCACAGTGAAAATACTCTTTTTGTTATTTTTTGGCTGTAAGCCCAGTAACATAAGAAAGATTTCCTTTAAAGCAACTTGCAACCTTCAGAGGTCAAAGAACAAAAGGCCTATTGAGAATGAGTGAAAGGGAAGAGAAAGACGTTATTTCAAGCTACATACACGTTGGTGGTAAAGATGCCATAGATCAAGTCCAGCTCGGGCAGCAAGAAAGTGCTCTGCAGCTCGTTGTAGTAGAAGGGGACCTCCCCGGGCCGGGAGCAGTTCAGGCGCGCCTTCATGAAGGTGGTCCAAGTGTCCTCCAGCAGGAAGCGCCCCCCGATGTCGTTCTTGCAGACCCGGGAAGCCCTGGAGAACACTGTCTTCCCACAGTCATGCTCCACAGCATTTTCTCGGAAAAAAAAGTAGGTGAAATTTCCGATGTCATAGGAGGATACAAAGTTCGGTTCTGGAAACAACAGGAGAAGAGAAACATCTCAGCAACCATATGCTGTTCCTTTTTCCTATCATCCGCTCAGCCTTTCTTCCAGAAGACTTGGCTGGTTCAGACAGTACTGGGCTCCTCTAGCACAGACGGAGACCCGGAGCACTGCTTCCTATCAATATGGCTGGGAGCCGGGGGTCACGCACAAATTCTAAGAAATGGAGAATTTACAGCAAGAGTCATGTTCAAACATCCTGAACTACAAACCCAAACCACCATTCACGTTAAACTGACTTTCATACTATCAAATGTGGGCGGCAAAGATGTACAGAACAAACTAGAGCAATACCTCTTAATTCATTTGAAAACTCTTACACCATACCCAGAAATAGAAGGAAGAAATAAGATTAAAAAGATAAACGTGATTTAGAATACAGAGTCTGCAGTTATATTTGCATGTAACACTATGAAATTCTTTGACTTATATCTGCACATGACCGTGATATAATTTGTATGCTTTTAGTAAGGATTTTAAACATGTTTAAAACTGAATCAAAAACTCCAACTGTAAGATTAGTGCCTCCAAATTAGCGTTAGCAATTTCCGTTGCTATGGTGATGGTGTAACTGTGAAAATCAAGCTTTATTTTCTTATTTCGGGTCACCAGGGGAACACATTGAGATCAGGAAAGAGTGTTGAGATAGATCCATTGCCTAGAAGCTTTCTGGTCTCATAATTAGCTTAAATATAAGATTGAGAAATGTGAAAATTATGGTAAAATCTTTTTTTAATTACCAAGCTCATTAGAAAATAGAGAACACCAACTGAATTTTCCATATGGCATGTAAATGTTATCTTTTTAACTTCCTGTTTGAGTTCTTTGAGTTTATAGAGCTTATACCTTACCAGACTCCTGAGATACCCTGATATTCATTTTTTTTAAATCTCTAATAACCAGGTTTTTCTCAAAGCATTCCATTCAATCAGCAAGTGTCTAAATTTTGTTAGGATAATAAAGGCAATAACCATTGTTGTTCAAAATTAATGTTAAGGCAGAGACAACAGCTATGTCCACAAAGACACATTTTCAAGGGCAAACACATTCTTCAAGCACTATTGCTTTAACCTGAAATGAACAATTTTTAAAAAAATTTCATTAAAATGTATGAGGTGGACATCAGATGGATTTATTGTTACCGTGTGCTTCAGAATCCCGGAGAGACACAAGACACAATGAGTGTGAAAAGTGTGTTTTAAAAACATGAACAAAAGATTGAGAAAATTTTGAATCCTCGTTCTTCATGAATCTCTACAAGAATTACCTGTAGAAGCAGACCTTAAAGGCAAAGATATGAAGCATCTACAAAACTATATTTAGTGCTTAAAAAATAGTCACTCGTATGTATGTCCAATTCTAATGGGAAAGCTACATCGTTTCAGAACAGACTCCGTACCCAGGCTCACAGAAGCAAATTAGAATCTCAGCATTACACTAAAGCCAAACCAAAAACCATCATCATCATAAACCACAACAGCAAACCATGTAAAACAGAGAGAGTACAAAAGGCATGGGGACAGGGTGTGTCTAGCCCAGGGCTACAGTTACCCACACACATTTATGAGGCAGGAGGTATAGTCCACCAAGCTATCGCAAATATGCTCACAAGTGTGCACTTCTGCAAGTAATCTGGGACAAAGAGGATGGAAGTCACATGGTAAATAGCTCTAGCACCTTCAAGAAGTCCTGAGCAAGAAAACAACCACGAAAAAGAAAAAGATCTGCTGTTGTTTCTTCCAGTCAGGTGTATGGCAAAAGAGCTGATATTCACAGATTACTGATCCTACTGTGTCAAGTGCTGTGCTCGGTGCTTAATATCCAAGTGCTCATTAGATTCTCAAAAGCTGGAGAGGTAGTCTGCTGTATTCCTTAGCTCTGTGTCTCTGGGACCAAATACCCAACATGCACAACTTAAGGGAGGAAGAGTGTGTATCTGCTCATGTTTTCAGAGGTTTCAGAGGCAAGCTGGCTCCAAACCAGAAACATCATAGTGGAAGGGTGTGAAGGAGCAAAGAAGCTTCTTCATGGTGCCCAGAAGCAGAGGATGGAGGAACAGAATCCTCCACAGGTACACCACCTGTGACTCACCTACTCCAACCGGGCCCCACCCCTAATGGCACATTCAGCTGTGAACATTGGAGGATTCCCCCACTGATGTGTACAAAGTCCCCATGATCTAATTACCTCTCGAGGAATCTCTTATTCCAGTCAAACTGACAAAAAGATTAACTAGCACAGGACGTACTACTCTTCCATTTCATAGATGAGGACTCTAAAGCTGATAGGCTTAATAACTTGTCAATTCACACAGCTACCAATCAGAGTAGAGTGAGCTGGAGAAAGTCCTGAATCCAGACAGCTGGGCCTCAGAGAAATGAACTCACCGTCATAATACAGTAAAAACATAACCGTCTACCAGGGGACATCCTGTATGCTAACAATACTTGCAATGGGATTGAATTTCTGGACAATACCCTTGGATGGGGAGTCATCACACTGGGGTTGGTAAATCGGTTTACTTGGGTACAAGCTTAGGAGGGTTTGAGAATTAGCTAGAGGGGAACACAAATGTGTGGAAAAAACTTTAACCCACAACTGGAAGACACATTAGCAATGAAACACAAAGTTTCACTAAAGTTGGAAGAAGAGGCCACTGATTGAAAGACTTAATAAACAAGAAGACAGTTGGGAAATGTTTGCCCAACCCCCGAGTGGGTATTTCGAATGGCACCAGGATAGCCTCAGTGGGCCAACACGTGACCATTAGGCAGTCTACACTGTGTCCATTATTTACTCCTCTGAAATGTATCCCCTGGCGAGTCTCAGTCAGGGGGAATACTGAGAGGCAGTAAGCAGATTGTCCCACGGCTGCCTCTTTCCACAGAGAAGCTGTCTTCTCTCCAAACCTCCCAAAGCCATGGATAAGGTAGCAATGTACATTTCAGATAGAAATGCTCAAATGCATTTTTCTTCTGGTAGGAGAAAACGAGGGAAGTTTTTGAATGTGTAGGGTGTGTCATTCTCCAGTTCACCTCATGCCAAAAACCATGTGGCCAGGGAGCGAAACTACATTTGGAAATGTGTCCTGCTGTCCTACATTGACCATTCAGGATGCGGACGGTTCTGATTCTGTGACCTGCTGTGAAGGCAAAGAGCTTCATCTCTTGGAAAGCAGACCTTGCTAAAATTCAGCCAGTATCCTGTTCCTTTTCCAACAACAGTAAAGATGTCGGGATAATTGTTAGCAGATAGTGAGTTATCTCTTGCATTTCTAGATATAAAGATAGAAGGGGATATCTGAATTGTACCAGGCAGAATAGCGATGCACATATTGTTTTCCTTCCATTATTTAAGTTCTGTTTTTTTAAAAAATGAAATTCACTCAAACTGGGATTTTTCCCTTCTAAGTAAACTGAATAAGTCATCAATCAGCCACTGCTGTCATGTTTGCAGTGGATATGAATGCACGATAGAAATCTAAATGATATTTTTAATATTATCATCATCAGAGCTACAAATGAGGAGAGCATGTGCTGCTATCTAACTCACAATAAAAATAGGCACAAGTCTATGTCAGCTTATATAGAAATATATGTGATGAGAGGCCATATTTTCTCATATTTGTAAATCATATTGCGTTATAGACTGCAGAGCGGCCTATAAAATATGTCAGATTAATAAGAAGTATATTATAAGAGTTTTTATTTTATGTCTTTACTTATATAATAGACCATGCTGATGGGAGTACAGGGAAGAGACATTATAAATAAACATAAGTGATGAAAAAGCATCAAGAGTTTTGACCCCATAAAGCCAAATGAGTGAAGCCTTCCATTCTGTACTTTTTCTATCTCAATACTTAAAGCATTGATATGGTGATGATCATTCATAGGTTGTTGATAAAGAAATATCTGATCAGTAAGAATGGACATTAAAGACATGAAAAAATTCAATTTTTCCAACTCTACAGAAATATTACTAGATTCTAACAATCTACTAAAAGTCATCGTACACCCCAAGGCCACATTGTGACACACATCCAAAGAGCAGGCTGGAAAATAACTCTGCACAGGCCATGGGCAGTGCAGCTCGCCTGGACCGGACTGGTGACCCATGACTCGCTCTGTCTTCCCTAAAGACATCCGGAGTGTGGAGGTCTCATTCACAAGGATGCAAAGGACTGTCCATGAGTCACAACAGATGATGGCCATCTGCACTGTTTCACAACTTGCTCCTGATGTTTCAATAATTTTACAGCGAATAGAACTTCACGTAAGACAAGGAGTGAAATGTACATATAACCAGTTTGCAGGTGATCAGAATTTGAGGAGCATAAATACAGCTATGCTGAATTTTCAAAAGAGCAAGGAATTTCACAACCAAAGAAAATGAGTTCATAAAAACAATCTTTACATATGACCCAGAGCAAGCAAGGGGTTTTCTGTTCATTGGCTGGTGTCTGTCACTATGAAGCCACTTTCGTTCACATTTATAGATCTTAGAACCTCTCTTATTGCATACATTGTTTCCTTTGTCACAGCTATAGCAGTAAAATGCACTATAGAGGTTTCCAAAATAAATCTAATTTCACTGAGGTATTTAGTAGCATAGATAATTCAACTAAAATTAAATTAAATGTGGTGAAAAGTCATTGGCGGACTAAAGTTTTTTTCCCTGAGATTTCAACAAAATGACAGTGATAGGTGGAGAGAGAGATAGATATTCAATAGGTATACATGTGTGTATGCATGTGTTTGTGTGTGTAGATGTGTGCATTACATGTATGCACTGCTAAACTTCATGTATATATGGCTCAATACTTCCACCTACTGGCTACATGAACTTAGACAAATTATTGAACAGCACATTTTGTTTTTTTCAGTGTTAACAATAGCTGTAACAACACGGCACATGAAGTATTATTGTGAGAGTCAAAGGCAGTGGATGTCAGGTGCCTAGCATTTGG